TAGGGAGAGGGAGAGGGAGAGGGAGAGGGAGAGGGAGAGGGAGAGGGAGAGGGAGAGGGAGAGGGAGAGGGAGAGGGAGAGGGAGAGGGAGAGGGAGGAGAACAAGAGCATGTACACGTGCCCTTGCAGTAGGTAGTATCATCTGGGGACGACCCAGAATCCCCTTGGCGACTGGCCACTGCACATGTGTGAAGGGATTCTCTTGATTAGATTAACAAGGTGAGATGACCCACCTGCTGTGGTTCGACGGGTTCCTGGGAGGGACCCTGGACTGTATGGAAAGGAGAAAAATAAACCAAACATTTGCTTTCCTTGCCTTCTCTTTCTCTTTTCTCTCTTTTTTTTTGGGGGGCGGGGATGGTTTTTTCGAGACAGGGTTTCTCTGTATAGCCCTGGCTGTCCTGGAACTCGTTCTGTAGACCAGGCTGGCCTCCAACTCTAAGACGAACCTGCCTCTGCCTCGGGAGTGCAGGGATTAAAAGGCATGTTCAACCTCAGCCCAGCGTGTTGGACTGTCTTGGTTGTGGATGTGACTGCCGCTTCAGGCTCCTGTTGCCTTGATTTCTGCCCCGTGATGAACTGAGTCTTGAATTGTGAGTCAGGATAAAGCTGTTGTCATCGGGGTATTTTAGCACAGCGATGGGAAAAGAAAACACAGCCTGCCGGTTCTTGATGGGGTCAGCATGAATCTGATACCAAATACAATTAAAATGTGGCTTTTGGGGACGGGGTATGTGTGTGTGTGTGTGCACTGTGTGCTTAGTGTGCACAATGGCCCTGGAGAGGAGCCACATGTGGAAACAAACCTAAACCGCCAAGGCAGTTGAAACAAAAGAAAATTACAGAGACCGCTGATCAAGACAAAAATTAGTAAGTCCAGCTGTGATCATCTATGATATAAAAAGTTATATTGAATTCCTATTAAGCGGGGTTCATGCTGGGAATGCAAAGGTGGCTTAGAACTCACTGCATTTTAAAGGAAGAGAAAGAACAATACCGAAAATACACCTAATGTACATCCTAGTAAAAATGGCAGCAAGAGGATAGGGAATCGCTCCAGGCTCACAACTGTAATCCTGAATTACAGAATGACTGAATCAAGGGAATTGTCTGATCAACACAAAACTGAGGGGGAGGGGAGGGGAAGGGAGGAGGCCAGAGGTTTTCACAGAACAGAAACTTCACAAAAACAATGATCCTACCTAACCATTCAGCATAGTTACAGATCTGTTTGTATTTCCTCCCACAAAGGCAGGGCTGTATCTGTCTTGGTTACATTGTGTCCCTAGGTCACGACAGAGTATAGCTAGTTGTTCCTCATTTCACAGTGATGGAAATGGAACCCGGAACCTCATATACGTTAGGCAAGTTCTGTACCACTGAGTACCCACCCCTCCCATATTTAATCCACGACAAACAAAAGTATTAGATGTTGCAGGTAGGTAGAAGAAGGGCCTGTGACTTACCCACATGTATCCCCAACTCTATAGCCACAGCCATAAAGCCAGGAGCCTGGGTCTATAATTGTCTGCAAGAGGCTACGTGGTAACTCAGCTTCTGGTGCCTGGCTTTCCTCACTTGGGAAATGTGATCAATCTGGGTCAGTAGGAGACTGAAATATTTCCCGTGCACTTGTCCCCAAGGAACTGACAGGCTGCTCTGATGTCACCAGTACAGCCTTGATGGGCTCCCTCAGCCTTGTGTGTGTGGCATTCCTAGATGCAAACAGCTTCTCATCCGGAGCCCCAGTGGTCAGGGAAGGCAGTCACTTCCTGGCGAGCTGGTCAGGAAGGTCTCAGAACAAGTTTCAGGCTGAGCGGAAGAACGAGGAAAAACTGAAGCCCAAGCCCTGGAAGATGAGGACCAGGAGCCACACCCAAATCTTCCCTTGGGTCCCAAGATGTTGGCCTATGTCCAGATCAACCCAGGCAAATGGCTCTATACAGAGCTACTGAAGGGACATGTCCAGTGTGTGAGGTGAACTTACCCATGTGCTCTCAGCTGCTCCATGCATGAGGTGGCAGCCTAAAAGCCACATCACAGAGAGGAAACTGAGACCCATAGGGTGCCATATAGCTTGGCCTGTGTTACTGCTCTCCTCTGAACTAAAGGTACAACCCTTGGACACCAGATGGCCATGAAGCAGCAGGCCACACTCAGCCCTTGGGGTTCAACTGTCAATCCAACTTGTAGCCCAGTGTCAGTCCAGCCCCCCAGAAACCTACTCACCAGAACCCCCAAAGGAGCCTTACCTTCTGTGATTTCCATAAATGAAGGTGTGGCCATTAAGTACCCAGGGCTAGGCAGATTGAGATCATAGGGGAGAGGTGGGGGACTTTAGAAACCCTGACCCACTCACAGCTCTCTCACCCTGACAAGAATAGCAGTAGCAACTGTAGGGGAGAATACCCCACTGTGACACTGGCCAGGTTCTCCCCCTACCCCACCCCTGGGGCAGACATCCTAAGTCACATAGAAAGTTCTTGGCCAGGGGACACACAATGGCACCTTCGTTAAGGCCTAGCCTAGCTATGGTCACTGACCACTCTTTCACATAAGTAGCTGGGTCCAGAGGTTCCCTCCCACTCCTGGCTTCTTAAAATAAGAACAGGAAGCAGGGAGAGTTGCTTGACAAAACACTGTGGCAGAACCCACATCCGCTTTTCACCGGGGGAGAGCTTGAGGGTTGAGAGTGCAAGACAGAGCAGGCTCCAAGCATCAACTGCAGCCTGACCCTCACAGACCAGTTGCTGTTCACAGAGCTTCCTCACAGACAGTAGAAGTACATCCCTTTGTTCACAGGCCCTGCTCATCTGGCTGGTTTTCAGTGGGGCCTGAGCGTGCACGCATACCCCACACCTCAGTTACAACTTTGCATTCTGGGAGGATTACGTAGATGCCACATCTCGCGGAGACAGAAATGGTTAGTCTTGACTCTTGTGTCCCTTGGGAACACCCTGTGACATCCCTACTGATCCAAGCCACTATTCCCATTGACTTGAAGTCTGAGAACTCAGAGGACCGGGTTAGCAGGGTTGAGGGCTACTGTGAACAAGACAGGTGGAAGAGGATAGGTAGATACATGGATTAAGTGAAGAGAAAAGGAAGGAAGCAAGGAAGGAAGGAAAGACAGATGGACAGATGGAAGGACAGATGGACAGACAGATGGACAGAAGGTGAATTCAAGAACAGAACAAAAAAGTGTTCTAGCCTGTTATTTTTGGGACAGGATCACCACTCTCTGTGCTGCAGGACCCAGCCTTGGGTTTACAAAGCACTCGAACCCAGACAGTGGGCTACCAGGCTGGTATTCTGGGAAGGAGACGCAGATGACTGGAAGGAAGGAGAACCTTGCCCAGGTTTCAGGAGCTCAGTGGGTGTCAGGGGACCTGGAGTGATTTCCTGCCTCAGGCTGGTCCTGTGGCAGCATGGTGGGTAGCATTGGCTTCCCATGGGCTGGGTTTTCTGGAGGAAGATCAGGAAACACCCACTGTAGCTTCTCTCTCTGTGTCTCTGTCTCTCTGTATCTCTCTGTCTCTCTTTGTCTCTCTGTCTCTGTCTCCCTGTCTCTGTCTCTCTGTCTCTGCCTCTCTGTTTCTGTCTCTCTTTGTCACTCTGTCTCTGTCTCTTTGTCTCTGTCTCTCTTTGTCTCTCTGTCTCTCTCTTTGTCACTCTGTCTCTGTCTCTCTGTCTCTCT